ATATATAATATATATATATATATATATATATATATATATATATATATATATATATATATATATATTAATATAATATATATATTAATGTTTTCAAGTTTAGGATGGACAACGAGGATTTTGAAGTATTCACATAGTTTCAGGTACCCCATTCCAGCAGGTTTAAAGACATTGACTTTAGTCCTGCTGTTTTCACAGAGCTTACATGTATAATAAGCAGGGATGGAAGGCTCGCCTGTGGTTTCCTGCATCCGCCACAGGTGACGACAGCCCAACCAGATTCTGGTAGTCACCGAGTCACACAATCTGGTGGATGTTTTATGCTGTCCATACACATACATTTCTGACCTGAACAGATCATAGTGCACATTACTAGAGCTCTCAGGTCTCTGGTTATCTGTGTTTACACATCTAGCACAGCTGATACCCTTCAGAAGGATGGTTTTAACAACGGGGCGAAAAACCCCCAGCTGTAGTTCAACTTCCAGTTTGTCACAAGCAGCTCTAGCTTCTTTAAACGTCTTATCATGACAGCTGATTCCTGCGTGGGAAGATATCCAGACAAATGAAATATGAAAGTCTTTGTCCTGATCACCATTGAAGTCAATTTTAATGTCTATTATGATGGTGCTTGTTTTGTACGTGGGATTCCTAGGTGCTAGAAGAGCAGACTTGGAAGTCACAGATAATTATCCTTCCTCCTGCTGAACCGAGTCAGTTATTTACTCTGATATTACTGGCATTTATATACTTGTTACGTTTGTATATTTTGCACTACAAAAATAACCTGCACATAGAAGAATGAAACTTATGACGACGTCTCAGTCCGACTTGGACCATTAACTAGATTACTCACATTTACCTTCAGCTTGTTTGTGTACAGACTATAAGCTGGTATGTTATGCTGACTATTTGGCATGATATAGGCACGAAACAGCACATCCCTGACACGTGCTGGCAACGTCGGATCTTCATGATGCTAGCACAGAAAAATGTGTTTAACTGTGCGCTTCTTTCATATACAGAAGGAAGCCCCAGTTCCTCCTTTGTGTTGAGGATTCTAATGCACACTGTAACACTAAGAATTATTTTCATGGCATGGGAGTGTAGAGCATGGTAGTCAATGAGAAGCCTAATAAACATTAGGATGAACCTTGCATATTTCACGGTGATGACAATATTCTTTCCCACAAGAGTTCTAAGGGGGCTTAAGTCTCTCTTCAGGCTGCTTTCAACTCCCAAGTATTTTTATTGTTCAGAGAATTCACTCTCAATGTTATTGATCTGGAAGGTCGAGGGACTGTTAGTTCAGACATTGCGACATAAGATTTTGGTCTTATCTGTGGCTGTCTCAAGACCACCATCAGTGCTGCTAGCTGACATGGCTTAGAGAGCTTATAATCCAACGTGTTTGCAAAGTTGCAGATATAATCAGCATAAATGGCAGCCACATCAGCTTGTGTAGGAACGTTTGACACGAGCCTATGTAGCAGAATACTTCAGAGTGAGACTGAATACTCCACCCTACGACGTGCCCAGCTCAAATGAAGCACTGGGAGTAGTCTGACACATTTATATATGTTTGACTTTGTATATAACGGTTCTGTTACTCATTCATTCTTGGATCCTAGTTAGTAGTTTCCCCTCTGACACCAAAACTGGCCAATTGTTAGTAAGTTCTCTGTAGGCTGTGTCAAAAGCAGCTCTCAGGTCAATGAAATCTGACTTTGTGCCAGGTCTCTGACTGGTTAAGTACTCAGCAAAGCCCAGAGATGAACAAGAATGGTATACAATACCTACAAGATGAAAACTGAGATACATGTGCAACATCTGGGTATCTTTATTGTAGACGTTTCGCCATCCAGTGACTATCAATACAGAATCTAAGACATAATTTGAAAGACAATAGAACTATATACAAAATATGAGGCAATCAAGCTCCTTGCCTATGCTCCAGAATCTTCACAACTAAGGTGCTCTTCCCACCAACTTCAAGGCTGAGGGATTGATTACCTCATCTTTTGTATGTAGTTCTGTCTTCAAATTATGTCCTAGAATCTGTATTGATAAATCCACTGGATGGCGAAACGTCTACAATAAAGATACCCATGATGTTTGCACATGTTCTCAGTTCCATCAAAACTGAGAGAGAATTTATGGTCAAGACCCTTGCAGCACTAAAGGTCTCTTGAGAGCAATTCACGGGGAATTTTTTACGCAATCTTGTTAGCCGTTTCAGAATTATTAATTTACCTAAACCCATACAACAATATAAATGTTAGGCTGATTTTTTTTCGATGCTGTGTTCTTGGAAAAATGGAAAATAATACCGAAACGAGAATAAAGATCAAGGCTGAGAGTAAGAACATGTGCAACATCTGGGTATCTTTATTGTAGATACCCAGATGTTGCACATGTGTCTTACTCTCATCTTGTCGGTATTATATACCATTCGTACACAAAGGCAGTATAATGCGATCCTTTATAGTGTGGACCAAACGTTATCACTAAAGACTCGTATTTTACAGCCTTTGTGCCTTTATCCATATAAATGCTCTTACAAAACAGAACAAGTGACGTGAGGTTCATGACGATCAATCGACAGGTTACCGTGATATACAAGGGAGAAGACACCCTTCTTGGGAAAACGCATTGTTTATACTGAACATCAGTATTTTTTTAAAGTTAACTGAATAGGACTCATCTACCAGATATCCTTCCTTGAGTGGATGTGACCTGACCTGACTAGGTGGGTCATTGGTTAAAACTGGGAGGTGTCTTGAACCTGCTTTGCATGGGCCAGTAGGCCTGCTGCAGTGTTCCTTATCTTATAACCCAGCGATCGTCTTAACATGCTTTATATATTCAGGCAAATACATGTATACAAGTATACCTACATGTATATCCACATGTACACCTGTATGTATACATGCATGTTTTCATAAGTACCTACATGAAAGTGAAAGTGGCTTTATGGAGTGTCACTTAATCATATATATACATAAGCACAATTATACATAAGGATACTTATACATAAGCACACACATACAGTATATACAAACATAAAAACACAACCATTTACACAAGCAATATAAATACACACACACACAATATATTATATATATATATATATATATATATATATATATATATATATATATATATATATATTATATATATATATATATATATATATATATATATATATATGCAAAGGTGCATACATATGAACAAAAATACATCTATACATTCTCAAATAGGGACGTACACCTAAGAATACATACTTGTACAAATATGCACACATACATATGCACATGCATACATACACAAAAGAGTACGTTTTTCATAGATACAAGAATACATCAACTCATACACATTCTCCAACCCAGCGAATACAACTTGATGAGTACACACACACACACACACACACACACACACACACACACATATATATATTTTAATGCAGTAGATTTTCATAACCACCCTGCACTATCCCTTTGGTCTACACCGAAGTAGAGGCGGCTGGGCTTATGAGACACGGGGATATCTTCCCCAGATTGCACAGAGAGCGAAATACATCTAGCTTCTCGCGCATCCTATATCCATCCTGTGGTAACCCAGCTTCAAAAACAGCGAACGTGGGGATATCAACGGTCTAAGGTGACTTACGAAATCGTAATGACACGATTGCAAACAAACGTACCCCTCTCGTGGTATGGTTTGGTCTAAGGTGCCACCGTGCGTCTTGCGCTACCAGACATACGACAGTCGCATGAACTGCTCTAAGGTGCCACCGTGCGTCTTGCGCTACCAGACATACGACAGTCGCATGAACTGCTCTAAGGTGCCACCGTGCGTCTTGCGCTACCACACGGCGAATGAACCAAAACAAGAAATAAAATAGATCTATCAAGCAATGGAGAAGTATTATCAAGCATTATCAAGTAATATCTCATTAATGGATTGAAAACACTAAAATAACGTTTTCTTGAACTAAAAAATCTTAATATTGTGTTTTATTAAGTTCTAAAACACAAAAACAATATCTTCTTGATTCATAAAACTGAATAAATATGCGTTTTATCTCAGCTCAAAACTAGAGATCAGCCATAAAGCTCAGTGTGCTTTGACTACAAGACTTGCTAAACTCAGCCATGGCACTATTAGTATTTCCAGACAGCCCTAATACTTCCAGACAGCCCTAATACTTCCAGACAGCCCTAATACTTCCAGACAGCCCTAATACTTCCAGACAGCCCTAATACTTCCAGACAGCCCTAATACTTCCAGACAGCCCTAATACTTCCAGACAGCCTTAAGACTTCCAGACAACCCTAAGACTTGAAATCAGCCCTAAGACTTCAAGACAGCCTTAAGACTTCAAGACAGACGCTATAAACAGCAGCCATAAGATACAGCTACAAGCAGCAGCCATAAGACACAGCCACAAGCACCAGCCATAAGACGCAGCCATAAGCCAGGGTGAGTGGCCGTCAGACACACGTAGCACCATCATCAGGTACCCAGTCTAACCTCACGCTCCAAGAAACCAAGTGATTGACCCCTTGGGAGGTACCTGGAGAGCCTCTGATGAGACCATTCTTATTCAACCCCTCCCGATATACCCATCCGGAAATGAGTATTCTCTTGTGGGGATTGATCGTCGAGTGGAGAATCAATCCCCGGGACTCCTGATGGCTCTCTAATCCCATCGGGGCCAACGACATCATAGGATCCCCATCAGAATCATTTCGACAAGATCACCATCATACAAGCCAGCAATGAATACATCCCCAGATCTGATTGGCCCTCCCGGCCAATGTGGCAACAAAGACTCAGCCAATGGGGAGCGTCTGGAGGCGGAGCGGCGGCGGTGATTGGCGGAGAGGCTGGTGGTGGGGGCGTCGCCAACAATGATGGGGACGCTCATACAATAGACTCTAACGAGGATAACACGAAACATATCACATGTTGGCTTTATTTGCCTCATCTGGAAGTGAGGAGATGAGTGGAGGTTGAGCTGTGGCGGTGAGCACAAGGGGCAGTAGTGAGGCTGTGGCCGCCACCGCTATAACAACACAGCAGCAGCAGCAGCCATGACCGCAGCCGCAGCCGCAGCAGCCGCCGCCGCCGCCGCCCTCCACCCTCAGTGATCACTAACAACACTCTCACAACCGCTGTTCCGTGGCTTTGTGATACTCTAATTGTTTGTCTGGAGATAAAGTGTGGCAGATGTTGCCTAGCGTGGGCCCCGCGGGGGTTTTAGGCGGAGGTCTGCGCCCCCTGGGGCACTCTGGCCTGCCCGCTCACAGTCTGCTGGGGTCGCTGGCGCCCCTGCCTCTGCCCTTCTCCACGGCGTCGACCGTGGCGGGCACGATGGGCGGCCTCACCGCTCCGTACGTTGTGGAGTCGCTACTGCGGGAGCGACAACTAGCGCGACCCGTCGCAACCAAGCCGCCTCTCCTCCTCCACGACGACCATCGCGACCACTACTACTACAAGGACGACCCCGCCGCCCACTACCTGGGCCTGCTGGCGCGCCCCGCGGGGCCGGATAGACTGACACCACCAGCGCCGGTACCCTCCCCGCCCCGCTCTGCCCGGGACGGTGAGGAGGGCGGCGGGGCGGGCGGCTGCGGCTGCGATGGGGATGCCCCGCACAGCCCAGACGTACCCAGCACCAAGCCGCATCTCAAGTTCTCTGTGACGGCCATCTTGGGGCATGATACCCCCAGCCCGCCAGCACGGGGCGACCCCCTCCTTCACGACCACCATGACACAGGTACGACCCCCCTCCCTAGACACCCTACCAACTTTCACCTATCGTGACCCCGCAATGCCCAAAATACACTCCCTGTACCCTCATCCCACCCTATGTATGTCAGAAACCCTATGTATATCACCTACCCTGTGTATGTCACCCACCCTGTGTGTCACCCACCCTGTGAATATCACCCACCCTGTGTATATCACCATCCTGAGTATATCACCCACCCTGTACATATCCCCCACCCGGTGAATATCACCCACCCTGTGTATATTACCACCCTGTGTATATCACCACCCTGTGTATGTCACCCACCCTGTGTATATCACCACCTTGTGTATATCACCCACCCTGTGTATATCACCCACCCTGTGCATATCACCCACCCTGTATATATCCCCCACCCGGTGAATATCACCCACCCGGTGTATATCACCCACCCTGTGTATCACCCACCCTGTGTATATCACCCACCCTGTTTATATCACCCCCTGTATATATCCCCCACCCGGTGAATATCACTCACCCTGTGTGTCACCCACCATGTGTATATCACCCCCCCCCCTGTGTCACCCACCCTGTGTATGTCACCCACCTTGTGTATGTCGCTCGCCCTGTGTATGTCGCCCACCCTGTGTATATCACCCACCCTGGGCATATCACCCACCTTGTATATGCCACACACCCTATGTGTTACCCACCCTATGTGTTACCCACCCTGTGTGCTATCCACCCTGTGTATATCACCCACCCTGTGTATATCACCCACCTTGTGTATGTCACCCACCCTGTGTATATCACCCACCTTGTGTATGTCAACCACCCTGTGTATATCACCCACCTTGTGTATGTCAACCACCCTGTGTATATCACCCACCTTGTGTATGTCAACCACCCTGTGTATATCACCCACCTTATGCCACCCACCCTGTGTATATCACCCACCTTGTGTATGTCAACCACCCTGTGTATATCATCCACCCCGTGTATGTCACCCACCTTGTCTTCCCTGTAGAACTGTCATTCACCATGTAAACCCACCTTAACTTCCATGAACACACCCACACCCCCATGAACCCACCCTTCACCACCATGAACCCACCCACACCCCCATGAACCCACCCTCACCCCATAAACTCACCTACACCCCCATGATCCCACCCTCACCCCATGAACCTACTCACACCCCATGAACTAACCCACACCCCATTAACCCACTCCCCGTGAACCCACCCTCACCCCTATGAACCCACAGGAACTCATCCTGATAGTGGTAATGGTGAAGATAGTGGCGGTGATGATTGTGGTGATAGTGGTGATGATAGTGATGATGGTGATGGTTGTAATGATGGTGATAGCGGAGGTAATGGTGATTACAGTGATAGTGATAATAGCGGTGATGATAGTGGTAATGATAGTGGTGGTGATAACAGTGATCATGGTGATAATGATAGTGATAACAATGATGGTGATGGTTGTGGTGATGGTAGTGGAGGTGATGGTTGTGGTGATGGTAGTGGAGGTGATGGTGATAGTGGTGGTGATTATAATGGTGATGGTGATAGCGACAGTGATGATAGTTGGTGTGATAAAAGTGATGGTGACAGTGGTGATGATGGTGAATCTTTTATTTTGACGTTGCTAGTGGGTGGGTGAGTGGTAGTGGTGATGGTGGTTAACTGTGGTAGTGGAGGTACTAGTGGTGACGAACTGTGTAATAATGGTGGTTGATGATGATGGTGGTGGTGGTTGATGGTGGTAGTGAATGGTGATGAGGAACCATGTATTCACCTACTTGTGGTTACGGGGGTGCCGAGTCACTGCACGCGACACCGTCTCACACTCACCGCAGGTCACACTAACACTGGCCTCGTGGGTTCTATCATACTTCCTCTTAAAACTGCGCATGGTACCTTCTTCAATCACCTAATTACCCGCAGCGCTCCACTTTCTAAAATCCTCAGACACAAGCACTAACAGTCCTATTGCTCATTTACCTATCTGCCCTCTACCTATGTGTGTGTCTTTGTTTTGGTATGTTGAATGAGGTGGTTTGTGGTGTGTAGTACATGCTGGTATGTGGCATGTAGCGGTATGTGGGGTTGTGGGGTTGTGGGGTTGTGTGGTGGTGTGTGGTGGTGTGTGGCAGTGTGTAGTAGTGTGTGGTAATGTGTGGTAGTGTGTGGTGGTGTGTGGTGTGTGGTGGTGGTTGCGGGTGGTGTGTGTGTGTGGTGGTGTGTAATGGTTTGATATTGTGTGGTGTGTGGTGTTGTGTTGTGAGTTGTGGTGTGTGTTGTGGTGTGTGTTGTGGTGTTATGTGTGGTGTTATGTTGTGGTGTGTGTGGTGGGGTGTGGTAGTGTGGGGTAGTGTGTGTGGTGGTTGAGGGTGGTGTGTGTGTGGTGGGGTGTAATGGTTTGATATTGTGTGGTGTGTGGTGTTGTGTTGTGAGTTGTGTTTGGTGTTGTGGTGTTGTTGTGGTGTTATGTTGTGATGTGTGATTGTGGTGTGTGTGGTGGTGTGTGGTATGTGTGTGTGGGTGGTGTGCGGGTGGGTGGTGTGTGTGTGGTGGTGTGTAATGGTTTGATATTGTGTGTTGGTGTGTGGTGTTTTGTGTTGTGGTGTATGTTGGGTGTTGTGGTGTGTGTTGTGGTGTTAGGTGTTGGGTGTGTGTGTGTTTGGTGGTGTTGTGTGGTGGTGTTTGATGGGGGTGTGTGTGTGGTGTTGTTGGGTGTGTGGTGTTATGTTTGTTGTGGTGTTTGTTGGGTGTTATGTTGGGGTGTTGTGGTGTGTGGGTGTTATGTTGGGTGTTGTGGTGTGTGGTGTTATGTTGGGGTGTTGTGGTGTGTGGTGTTATATTGTGGTGTTATGTTGGGGTGTTATGTTGGGGTTTGTTGTGGTGTGTGGTGTTATGTTGGGGTGTTGTGGTGTGTGGTGTTTATGTTGGGGTGTTGTGGTGTGTGGTGTTATGTTGGGGTGTTGTGGTGTGTGGTGTTATGTTGGGGTGTTGTGTGTGTGGGTTTTTGTGGTGTTTGTGGGTTATGTTGGGGTGTTGTGGTGTGTGGTGTTATGTTGGGGTGTTTGTGGTGTGTGGTGTTATGTTGGGGTGTTGTGGTGTGTGGTGTTATGTTGGGGTGTTGTGGTGTGTGGTGTTATGTTGGGGTGTTGTGGTGTTGGTGTTATGTTGGGGTGTTGTGGTGTGTGTGTGTTATGTTGGGGGTGTTGTGGTGTGTGGTGTTATGTTGGGGTGTTGTGGTGTGTGGTGTTATATTGTGGTGTTATGTTGGGGTGTTGTGGGTGTTGTGGTGTGTGTGTTATGTGGTGTTGTGGTGTGTGGTGTTATGTGGGTGTTGTGGTGTGTGGTGTTATGTTGGGTGTTGTGGTGTGTGGTGTTTGTGGGGTGTTGTGGTGGGTGGTGCTATGTTGTGGTGTTGTGGTGTGTGGTGTTATGTTGTGGTTTTGGTGTGTGGGTGTTATGTGGTGTTGTGGGTGTTATGTTGGGGTGTTTGTGGTGTGTGGTGTTATGTTGGGGTGTTGTGGTGTGTGGTGTTATGTTGGGGTGTTGTGGTGTGTGGTGTTATGTTGTGGTGTTGTGGGTGGTGGTGGTGCTATGTTGTGGTGTTGTGGTGTGTGGTGTTATTTGTGGTGTTGTGGTGTGTGGTGTTATGTTGTGGTGTTGTGGTGTGTGGTGTTATATTGTGGTGTTATATTGTGGTGTTATGTTGGGGTGTTATGTTGGGGTGTTGTGGTGTGTGGTGTTATGTTGTGGTGTTGTGGTGTGTGGTGTTATGTTGTGGTGTTGTGGTGTGTGGTGCTATGTTGTGGTGTTGTGGTGGTTGTGGACTTTATTCTGGTGTTGTGTGGTATAACAACAACAATAATAATAATTGTCCTAATAATCAAACATGTTCCACGAATTCCTACAACGTAACATGGAATTAACACAACACGGATTTAATACACAATACAGAAGTAACACGTAATTAATACAACAATTATGTAACACGGATTTACACACAAACAAGCCCTAACAGAAATTAAAAACCAAAAGATGTAAACGGAATTAAACACAATTTTTAACACGAATTAACACAAATTAATAACGGAAAATTAACACATAAAACTCTCACAACAGAATTAACGCGTTACACATTACTCCTTATCCTCTAAGAGGGAGAAATGGGAGATGTTCACCCTCTTCAAAGCGAGGAAAGGAAAGGGGGGGGGGAGGTTCTTTGAGTCTGGTGAATATATCTTGATCCAAGGACCTTGAGCAACCCTCCTCATCCTTGAATTAAAATCTTATTATAATTGTTTCGTATGGAAAATGATTATAAAAATAATAGTAATTAATAATAATATCCCTCTGTTATTATTTCTATATTTATATTTTTATAATTATTATTATTATTATTAACTCCATGAAAGCGCAAAAACCCAAAAGGGGGACATATAACATAGGGAATGTGGTTATCATTTTGATTCTGGGAAAGGGGGGCGGGTAGCTTCAACTCTCGGATCAAAAGCCCTGTCTGCATCGGGGCCCCCAAACCCCCCCCTAAATTCTTCCCCAAGACGATGGGTTTTAAAACCCCCTTAATAGTAATAATTAGCCCCAGTATGCAAACACGTGCTTTTAATTGCTCTTTAAAAATTATAAAAAAACAAAATAATAAAAATTTTAAAATATTATTAAGACGATGAATCTACACAAACCACACAATGGCTGGGACTCGACCCTCAACCTCAACTGGGTGACTACCACCCACCACACAAACACACACAACACACACCACACACACACACAACACACACACGGCACACAGATGGCGGGGACTGCCCCCTCACCTCACTAGGTGATACACACACCACACACACCAACACCCCACACACACAGATGGTGGGACTCACCCTGCAACCTCAACTAGGTGACTACAACCCCACACACACACACACCACAAAACCCACAACACACACACACACACACATACATTTAGGGGGTCAGGCTAAAAAAACC